AGATTCTTTCTTTGACTTCTGCCATTATTACCTTTCTCTGTGAAACAGAAGTTTCACTGGATAGGAGGCTAGTGCTTGATTGTGGATGGAATTGCCTGGAATTTAGGGTGGGGTCTTGACTATAGTTATTTACAGACTCGAGAAATCAAACAACAAGGTCTAAAATTTCTAGTTTAATACAGATCACCAACAGGCACATGAAAATATACTCAACATCATTAATTATTACAGAAATGAAAATCAAAACTACAAGGAAGTATCACCTTACACCAGTCAGAATGGCCATTGTCAAAAAATCTACAAACAATAAATGCTGGAGAAGATGTAGAGAAAAGGAACACTCCTACACTGTTGATGGGAATTTAAATTGATACAGCCACTATGGAGAACAGTATGAAGGTTCCTTAAAAAACTAAATATAGAGTTATCAAATGTATGACCCAGAAATCCCAATCCTCAACATACTTCCAGAAAAAAACACTAATTTGAAAAACATATATGCACCCCAATGTCATAGCAGCACTATTTACAATAACCAAGAATCACAGAAGCAGCCTAAATGTCCATCAACAGATGATAGATAAAGAAAATCTGGAGTATGCATGTACACACACACACAGCCACATAATGGAATATTACTCAGTCATAAAAATATTGAAATAATGCCATTTTCAGCAACATGGATGGACATAGAGATTGTCATACTAAGTGAAGTCAGACAGAGAAAGACAAATATCATGTTATCACTTATATGTGGAATCTTTAAAAAATTATACAAGTGAACTTATTTACAAAACAGAAATAGACTCACAGATGTAGAAAACAAACTTATGGTTATCAAAGGGGAAAGGAGGGGAGGAATAAATTAAGAATTTGGGATTAACAGATACCCACTACTATATACAAATAGATAAACAATAAGGACCTACTGTATAGCACAGGGAATTATACTCTCTATAATAACTATAATGGAAAAGAATCTGAAAATATATATTCTACTCATATATAGACATATGTATATATGTATATATACAGCAATCACTGTGCTATACACCTGAAATTAACATAGCATTGTAAATCAACTGTATTTCAATTTAAAAAATGACTGATCTGGCAGTGGTGTGTAAGATGATGTTGAAAAGAAAGAGCCTGAAAAGAGGCATGAAAGACATCTCCAGGAATTACAAACAGTTCAGCATGGTTCAAATACAAGGTACATGTGAAAGGTAGGAGATTATTATAAGTCATCTACATCTGAGGTAATGAGAGTCAGGATAGAAGAAGCAGCTGTAGGAAAGAAAAGGAATTGAGTGGAAAAAGACCAAGACTTGATGTCAGATTGTATAAATGTTAGCTGGAACTGGAGCAAAATTGCAAAGAGTCAGATTCTTTCTCTCTTCACCCCCAGCTTCCCACATCTGTGCTGTTTTCCCTATATTTAATTTTAACTTCAGTGTCATCAGATCTCAGATTTCTATTACCTTCCTCTCTTTTTCTCTTTCCCCATGAGTTTTAGCAAAACCCTCCCAGACCCCTACCATCTAACTGAGATGACACGGTCTGATAAATTTGTCATTTAACAGAAATCAAAGCCTCTTAAAAATTCTGAAGAGTAGATTCTGGTCCTCAGCTAAGACACAGACAGATGAATTGTTGGTCCTGGAACTCTAAAGCCATATGATCAAGCTGGATGAGCATCTCATATGAGATGATTTTTTTAAAAAAGAGACCAACAAAGAAGACAAGCAGTTTCTCCCTTGCACATTATGAAGAATGGTGACCATACTGCCAGAATCAGATATGTTGTTATTTGTTGTAAAACAAAAGGGGTAAGACCAAGGGGGAAAAAAGATCTTTGAGCCCTAGAAAGCCCAATCACTTTACATTGCAAAATTAGCACTTAGTTTAGAAACCACTGTCAAAGTTAAAACTGCTGTGCTACCTTTAGAGGACCTGAAGAAACCTGTATCCTGAGCACAGCTGATACATTCAAAGAGGAATGAAGTGATACTTTCTCTCAGATGTTTACCTGAGAGAAACTCAGGGAACACCTAGAAGTCTTAAATCAAGTTCACACACAACTTCTGTCTGGTTCCTCTTTATTGAAGCTGTAAATCTCTTTTCTTTCATCTTCTCTTATTTTTCTAAGATGAAAAATAAAGAATACTTGGTTTTTGCCCTTTGAGTCTAGTGGGACTGCCCAGTAGGAAGAACAGTGAAATTTAAATTGAATAACCACAGAGATGAGTATGACATGAAACAATCAGTGAAAATTATCAAGGAAAGTACAAACAAAATAATGTAGGACTTTGAAGGAAAGAAATATTAAAATGGATCAGGAATGGCTTTTTGTTTGAATATAAGCAAAAAAGAGGCATAGTTACTATCTTCATTTAACAGAAGAGACTACCCTGAGGACTACCTGAGAATGCTATGGATCACTAGCTCTACTTGGGGCACACTTAGAAGGCAAAACGGTGCATAAGTCATCCTCATTCGTAGGCAGTTTTATTGCAGCAACAATAAAGGCTATGGTATATGAATTGGGACCTTATATTCTCAGATTATCTCTGGGAACTCCTACTTACTTGTTCACTGAAGCTTGACCAGGTTACAGATCAATGGAGGCTAAGGGCTGATGCAAGGAGAGTAGATAGATGATGATGATAATGAAGATAGATAGACAGATAGATAGATAGATAGATAGACATGGACTAGATGAGCCAAATAAAAATTTGAGTACCTCCTGAAATAAATAATTGAACCCAAAAGTTATATATCCACACATTTACTTTATTGCCTCATCTTCCCTCAACCAATCACCCAGACAAGAATGGTAGAATCCAATTTTGGCAGAAGCTGACGTCAGAGACAAGAGTTCTCAATTAAACAAAAAAGAAAAGAGGGGCAAAGAGTAAGACTATTGAATGCCTGCTATATGCAAACTCAGAATTTCTAAAGAAAATTTCTAAAGGAACCATAGAAAACCCTTCAAAATCCCAAACTTGGAGAAACATTACATTGTTGCCCAGGCAATGTGACTTTTACTCACTTGTGCATGTACAGAGAGAAGGCTAAACTGTAGTTGTACAGCTACCATAAACTTGGACAATTATTACATTAGCCTGGTAAAACTATACTTCTCATAGATGGGTCTTAGAAATTCAAAAACTTTCTCTTTCCACACTAGGGAGAAATATAAGCTTTGTCTAAACACAAAACTGGCAGAGCCAAAGTTAATTTTCACCTAGAGAAAATGACTGGAATCATATAATTCTTGGGTTAGAAAGGTTATTTTTATTAAATATTCAAGCAGTATATCTTTACTGATTACAGAGCCCCAGGATAAGCTAAATCCCCAAAGAAGTTTTAATGCCTGAGTAACAAAATATAAAAGCCAACTCTGTTTGAATAATTCCCCACCTGTAATGCTCACTTCCTCCAGACTGCTAGTAGATGCTTACTTATGTCAACTCCTTGCCTGGGGATGAAAGGAAAATCCTGAGAGAGAAGAAATTAGAGAATATTTGAAAACTGATTATCTGAATATGTCATGGACTCAAACATCAATATCATAGCTGTGGGTTCAGATTCCTACTTTTTAAACTGTCTGTTTCATGTTTTTGCATTTTCTTTATTTTCATTTTGATTTTCCTTTTTTTCAGTAGAGTTCCTTTGGAAAATTCCAACCTATTTTAAGCTTGCTAAGGTCCATCTAGTCAAAGCTATGGTTTTTCCAGTAGTCACGTATGAATGTGAGAGTTGGACTATAAAGAAAACTGAGAGCCAAAGAATTGATGCTTTTGAACTGTGGTGTTGGCAAGGACTCGTGAGAGTCCCTTGGACTGCAAGGAGATCCAGCCAGTGAATTCTAAAGGAAATCAGTCCTGACTATTCATTGGAAGGACTGATGCTGCAGCCAATACTTTAGCCGCGTGATGGGAAGAACTGACTCAATGGAAAAGACCCAGATGACAGGAAAGATTGAAGGCGGGAGGAGAAGAAGATGACAGAGAATGAGATAGTTGGATGGTATCACTGATGTGATGGACATGAGTTTGAGTAGGCTCCGGGAGTTGGTGATGGACAGGGAGGCCTGGCATGCTGCAGTCCATGGGGTCCCAGAGAGTCGGACATGACTGAGCAACTGAATTGAACTGAAGAATAAATTGGAGAAACATGTTTATTCTATTGACACTTAGACCACAAATAAAAGAAAAATGGCCAGCCTCTGGGGTCCTTGCATATAGAGATGAAAGTTGCCATAGGGCAACACAAATTTAGGAAACAAGTATTCAGGCTGCTACTGTTTTAAGAAAGCCCTTCTTTGTTCATTTCTTGGAGATTTTTTATACTTTCTTAGATTTTCTGATAGTTTAGTTGAAGATACATACACTCATGAAAAGTTAACTATATAAACTATAAAACAGTTGATATCCAAAGGTATATAATATATGCCAAATTGATAATAAATTCCATAACTATTATTATGAATTTTTATGGAAAAGAGCCCAAAGTCTTCTAAATCATCACTCCTCCCAGGAAAATTGTCCCTAAGCCATCACAGCCAGATATACTTGATATTTTTCAAGTCTTAATTCCTCTTCCTAGCAAACTAGATACTTGGATATGAAGTTCCAAGTTATTTCCCCTTTGAACTTCATAACAAGCTATTTAGAAGAGAAAATAGGGAAAATATCATGGTTTCACAGAACAAAATTTTTAAATACTGTGTTCATCTCTAGATACAGAAGCTATTAATAGAGCAGCAGACATGTGTAATCAGCTCTGGTCTTTGTTTTAAATTTTCCCCTGAGGATGTAAAAATGAATGGAGTGGAAACAAGGATACATGGAATCCAATAACTAGCTCTAAATTTGTCAGTAAAGCTATGATGTCCCATCACACACCCTAGATCTGTGCTTAAGGCTGCTAAGCTCCCATGACCCTCTGGACTGCTTCTAAAGTCATTAACTTCCTTTTCAACCTTATGATTTCAGCTTAGGCTTCATCTGATATTATATCATAAGAAGCGCTGACCACTAACCAAGAACATTCGTGAAGGGTACTGCGGTGCCAGAATTAGGTATGCCTCTATTTTCTAAATAAATCTTGATTGTCAACTCACTAGTTATCTTAACAAAGTAACTTCCTTCATCATCTGCACTAAATATTAATTTCATTTATGTTTATTGCCTGTATATGTTTGCATATGTGCTCAGTCATGTCTGACTCTTTGCAACCCCATGAACTGTAACCTATCAGGCTCCTCTGTCCATGGATTTTCCAGGCAAGAATACTGGAGTGGGTTACCATTTCCTCCTCCAGGAGATCATCCCAACCCAGGGATCAAACCTGCATCTCTGGTATTGGCAGGCAGATTCTTTACCACTGAGCCACTTGGGAGGTCCCTATTGTTTGTATATATGAATCAACTAATAGCCCATTCGTTTTGTGCTAAGATAGTTCTTGCCATACTTCTTCATGCTTCTGAGCTATCACTCCTCTCCCCCACCATTCTATGAGCTGCTCAAAGGCAGAGATGTATCCTTAAGCATCTCTGTTTCCATATAGTGTGAATATCATTAAGAAATCACAGTAAATTCTATAAAAATGAATCAAATGCTGTTTAAGATAAGTAAAACCATCATCTGCAAAATGAATAGCTTTAACTAAATGATCTCTAACTTTCTAGGATTTATTACTTGTTTGAAAGTTTTAAAATTTTCTTTTTTTGACCTAATATAGGTCAATGGCTTGATTTAGTTATAAATAAGCAATCAAATCTAAATATCAAATGTACCAGGAAAGTTTTTTTTAGTAACAACCAATAAATTTATTAATGATACTAGAGGTACCTATTTCTTTTTTTAATTAGTTTATCCATTTTACTTGACATCTTTCATTCTAACACCTGAGAATTTCAAAATTATTTATAATATTTAACAGACAAGTAAAACAAACAAATGATTCATCTCTGTCATGATATAAGTGTGATTTTTTTTTCCATTTCTTTTTATTAGTTGGAGGCTAATTACTTTACATCATTGCAGTGGTTTTTGTCATACATTGAAATGAATTAGCCATGGATTTACATGTATTCCCCATCCCGGTCCCCCCTCCCATCTCCCTCTCCACCCGATCCCTCTGGGTCTTCCCAGTGCACCAGGCCTGAGCACTTGTCTCATGCACCCAACCTGGGCTGGTGATCTGTTTCACCCTAGATAATATACATGTTTCGATGCTGTTCTCTTGAAACATCCCACCCTCGCCTTCTCCCAGAGTCATTATAGTTAACCTTATGATTTAGTGCCTTTCTTAATACTTTAGGAAGCAACTTAACAGATTCACTTTAGGTTCTGAGGTTGGGAAATTTTTAAATAATATTGGAGTGAAAAGACAACTTTCAGTGGTTTAGAATGATAAACAATACTTTCAAAAGATAAACTTGCTCTGTCATTCATTTACTCATTCATTCTATTAATATTTATGATCATCTATGAGCAAAGTACATATGTACTGGCCCTGTATGAGCCCTTTATATATCAATCGGAAAGTCTATGAGGGAAGATAATAAACACATACACATCACTGATCTGAAAGACATATTTAAAATTCCCTAGAAGGGGAAAGATAGAAATTACCTTAGAAGGAGGCTAAGGGAAGGCTTTGTCAAGAAGGTGTCAAGAAGAGCTGAAAGATGGGTAGCTTTTGCACACACATAGATGGAGAAAAGGTCATTTCAGGAAGAAGAAATACCACGAAAAAAGACAGACAGGTGGGAAAACATATAGCTTATGACCCTGATATAGTAAAGTAGTTGTTTATTGAAATATAGGATATACAAAAAGGGAGAAGTGAGAGAGAAGCTAGGAAAATTCAGTTGCAACCAGACTCTGTGTGTGTGTGTGTGTGTGTGTGTGTGTGTGTGCGCGCGCGCGCGCACGTGCACTAAGTCACTTCAGTCGTATCTGACTCTGCGACCCTATGGACTGTAGCCCGCCAGGCTCCTCTGTCTATCAGATTCTACAGGCAAGAATACTGGAGTGGGTTGCTGTGCCCTCCTCCAGGGGCTCTTCCAAGAGCCTTAAATATCAGGCCAAGAAGTCTGGATTTTATTTTGAAGACACTAAAGGACCATTGAAGATTTTTAGAGAAGTAATATGAGATAACTGGAAGCTATAATGTATAGAGAATTATTTTGGAAAGAGTTTGTAACAGGATATAGTGAGTGTTGGTGGTGGTAGAAAGGACAGATGGTAATTATTTGATACCTTTCAAATGTGGTTATTTTTTTTAAAAGGCTATATCAAAAATCTCAACAGCACCATCTAGTGCCTCACAGGCTAACACTGTCTGATTTGGAGAAAACCCAATACAGGGCTAGCTAGAATAAGTTTACAGAGATTCTCTTTCTTCCACAATTGCACCTGAATTCAGGAAAGCGATGGTGAAAGAGGCAGGTTAAGTGGAAAGCAAACTGAGAAATAATGCATAGGTTGACAATAATGAACTAATTTTTCTCTGTGATTTTAGTTATATACCCTCAGAATGATTCACCTTCAAATTTTTTACTGTATATCAACAGTTCTTGGTGGAAAATAATGACCTTTTTTTTGGCCACACTGCAAAGCTTGTGGGATCTCAGTTCTCCAACCAGGGATTGAACCCAGGCCACCATAGTGAAAGCCTGGAATACTAACCACTAGGCCACCAGGGAACTCCCAACAATGACATTTTTAATGAAAGGAAAAAAATAGATGGGCAAATGAATAAATGACATACCCTCACAGCAAATATAATTGTTAGCAGTAGTAAACCTGGAAAGTTATATCCCACCTACAACCACAACCATAGCTTCCTGTATCTGTATCCTTGACACAGAGACTAATTCAGTCTCTTCCACTACCAGCAGTTCTTGCATGCTGAAGCAATCTTCCCACCTTACAAATCCTAACCCCTCTCTTACCAGGGAGAAAGAGCTATGTAACAGGCCAACAAATCATATTTCAACCAAAGATTATCTACCATATTATAAATCGATGAGTTGTTCCCATCTCCTTAAAGAATAAAAGAGAAGAATATGGAGGAACATAGGAAATCACTACTTCTGCACAATCTCATCCCTATATCTTTCTGATCAGAGCTTATTTATTGCCGTGATAAAGCTGAACTAGGCCAGACCAAGCAACACTCTCTTGCTATAATAGAAATGACCATGTGCTGTTGAACAGTAAGACTTTGAAAGTGAGTCTGGGAAGAGAATAAGGATGAACATGTACAATTTCCTCACCCAGAAAGTATATTCCAATTAGTTATGCTGCAGTTCTCCTCAGAACCTTAACTTAGGTGTGGATTTTAGAAATGTATTTCACCTTATTTCCTCATTAAAAAAAACTAGATAGCTTCTAAAGTTTCCCCAGCCTTGGTGTTCTGTTGTTCTAAATAGAGTCCACCATGTTCTAGATTAAGATTCTCCACCATGGAGTGAGTTCCATTGATAACAAATTTAATTATTTTCCTTAGGTACAAGTATCACCCAGCAGCTGTTACTTAGGAAGACTTCTTTGTGGGGGAACTAAGCATTTTCATCCAGATTTTATCCTCAGAAAGAATCTAGATCTCTTCCAATAGAGAAAGAGATGATAGATAGAAGATAGATAGATACTCATACTTATGAAACTACTATCTTTAAAACTTTTCTCTAAAAAACAAACCCATTTAAAAGGAAGATTTAAGAGAAATGCAAATCAAAACCACAATGAGGTACCATCACACACCAGTCAGGATGGCTGCTATCCAAAAGTCTACAAGCAATAAATGCTGGAGAGGGTGTGGAGAAAAGGGAACCCTCTTACACTGCTGGTGGGAATGCAAACTAGTACAGCCACTATGGAGGACAGTGTGGAGATTTCTTTAAAAAGCTGGAAATAGAACTGCCATATGACCCAGCAATCCCACTCCTGGGCATACACACCGAGGAAACCAGATCTGAAAGAGAGACATGCACTCCAATGTTCATCGCAGCACTGTTTATAATAGCCAGGACATGGAAGCAACCTAGATGCCCATCAGCAGATAAATGGATAAGAAAGCTGTGGTACATATACACCAGGGAATATTACTCAGCCATTAAAAAGAATTCATTTGAATCAGTTCTAATGAGATGGATGAAACTGGAGCCTATTATACAGAGTGAAGTAAGCCAGAAAGATAAAGACCATTACAGTATACTAACACATATATATGGAATTTAGAAATATGGTTATGATAACCCTATATGCAAAACAGAAAAAGAGACTCAGATGTATAGAACAGACTTGTGGACTCTGTGGGAGAAGGCGAGGGTGGGATGTTTCAAGAGGACAGCATCGAAACATGTATATTGTCTAGGGTGAAACAGATCACCAGCCCAGGTTGGATGCATGAGACAAGTGCTCGGGCCTGGTGCACTGGGAAGACCCAGAGGGATCGAGTGGAGAGGGAGGTGGGAGGGGGGACCGGGATGGGGAATACATGTAAATCCATGGCTAATTCATGTCAATGTATGACAAAAATCACTGCAATGTTATAAAGTAATTAGCCTCCAACTAATAAAAATAAATGAAAAAAAATAAAATAAAATACAAGCAAGATTTATAGGATAGTGCTGGAGTAATATGGCTTAAAATAAGGCATAGCTAGTTCTTAAAGATTAAAAAGCCCATCAGGCAAACATGGATAGGAAATAGGGGAAAGGAACTTTCTGGGTGCCTATAGGATCCAAACCCTTCTCCTGGGGGGAAAGTCCAGAAGAACATCTCTTCACTTATCCACCACTCTTGCTTCCTGCTGTTTTAAATATATATATACATAACACTATAAAATGAAATGTTAGTATGTCCTATAATTTATGGAAGAGCAAAAATTGACAAGATTTTTTATATACATTGTAGGCACCAAGAAGACTCTCCTAGAGAAACATGGATGGAGTTGGAAATCTGACAGTATCTTCTTCCAGTAGTAATGCATGCAATGACACTATTGATGATTTCCGAAATCAAGTGTATTCCACCTTGTACTCTATGATCTCCGTTGTGGGCTTCTTTGGCAATGGCTTTGTGCTCTATATTCTCATAAAAACATATCATGAGAAGTCAGCCTACCAAGTATACATGATTAATTTAGCAGTAGCTGATCTACTGTGTGTGTGCACACTACCTCTCCGTGTGGTCTATTATGTTCACAAAGGCATTTGGCTCTTTGGTGACTTTTTGTGTCGCCTCAGCACCTATGCCTTGTATGTCAACCTCTATTGTAGCATCTTCTTTATGACAGCCATGAGCTTTTTCCGGTGCATTGCAATTGTCTTCCCAGTCCAAAATATTAATTTGGTTACACAGAAAAAAGCCAGGCTTGTGTGTGTTGGTATTTGGATTTTTGTGATTTTGACTAGTTCTCCATTTTTAATGTCCAAATCTTACAAAGATGAGAAAAATAATACCAAGTGCTTTGAGCCTCCACAGGACAATCAAGCTAAATATTATGTCTTGGTCTTGCATTATGTGTCATTATTTTTTGGATTTATCATTCCTTTCATTATTATAATTGTCTGTTACACAATGATCATTTTGACCTTACTAAAAAATTCAATGAAGAAAAATCTATCAAGTCGTAAAAAAGCTATAGGAATGATCATAGTTGTGACAGCTGCCTTTTTGATCAGCTTCATGCCATATCATATTCAACGTACCATTCACCTTCATTTTTTACACAATGAAACAAAACCCTGTGACTCTGTACTTAGAATGCAAAAGTCAGTGGTCATAACCTTGTCTCTGGCTGCATCAAATTGTTGCTTTGACCCTCTACTATATTTCTTTTCAGGGGGGAACTTTAGGAGAAAGCTGTCTACATTTAGAAAGCATTCTTTGTCCAGCATGACTTATGTACCCAAGAAGAAGACCTCCTTGCCAGAAAAAGGAGAAGAAGTATATAAAGAATAGTTTAAGCCCATTTTTGATGGATTCCAAAATCACTATTTTCTCAAATCATTCACAGCAAAAATAAGAGCTTCCATCAATAATTTACCCTTATTTGACTTAATGACCTAGAAATCTATCTCATTTATGAATTCACATTATTAGAGGTCCTAAAGATATTTTTAGTGTTAAAATTCAGTTCAGGTCTATGAACTAAATTATAAATGATTTTCTGATCTTTCACCTAAAGATGGACAAAATTTGTATCTTGGCACTGTAAAACATAGGTCTGAGATTAAAGTTTTCCCTCTCAAATAAAAGCTTTACAAAGGGTAAGAACTAGCTTTTTAAGATATAAATTTAGCTAATAGTGATCCTAACATATTTCTTTGCATGCATGCCAACAGATGAGAACTGGAGTGAGCCAGGAGCTACATAAAATGTACTATCATCCTCTTTCTTTGTAGCACTGATTGGCTAGGAAATCACAGCCATTTCTTTCCCTCGAGAAAATGATCACGTGTTAAAACAGCCTAGTCTTCAGCCAAATGGCCCTAAAGTCTCCATTCAATGTACAATCTGGAAACTGAGGAAGGTAAACCTGATCAAAAGCTAGTTTGTCTCCAATTTTCTTCTGATTCTGCCTTAGGCTCCCAAAAGAGAATAGTGGGGTTTTTGTTGCTCATTGAGATTCTTTTAGGGAACTCTCTCCCTAAACAAGATGCAATCCTTCCTTAATAAAGCAGATGACTGGCACTACCATCTAATAACAGAAATCATTTAAAATTTATCTAAAGAAGAGGAAAGGGAATTTACTTTTCTACACACTTATTACTGGAACCACAATGAACTGCAATGATTCTCTGAATAAAAATTTGAATGTTGATATTGCAAATTTTAAGAAGTACTTACATTTATGCATATTGTGTAAACTATATGTAAGAAATTTTGCTGTATGCATTTATGAGTGGAAGTCAGTTATAACCTTTGTTATATTTTATGCTTTTTACTTTTATTAGCATGTTGACAGGAATACCAAAGATATACTGCAGTGGTTTTTTATGTTATAGTGGAATCTCTTCTTAAAATAGCAACAGTTTGATTATGGCTGAAATATAATATTCATGAGAAAGTTTTTGTTGAAGTGTAGTCTGTTCCTTAATTCTGTGTTTCAAAAAGTGCTTTATCTCAGAGGAAATGATAATGTTGAAAAAAAGAAAAGCTAGGATATAAGTTCTATCTGAATCTGCCACATGCATGTAATTTCTATTTCACTTCTAATGTTGCAATCCCTTCAAAAACCTGAAAGATAGAAGATTTCTGCATGCATAAGTCTCTTCAGTCATGTCTAACTCTTTACAACCCTATGGACTATAGCCTGCCAGGCTCCTCTGTCCATGGGATTCTCCAGGCAAGAATACTGGAGTGGGTTGCAATGCCCTCCTCCAGGGAATCTTCCCGACCCATGAATTGAACCTGCATTTCATATGTTTCCTGCATTGGCAGGCAGGTTCTTTACCGCCAGCACCACCTGGGAAGCCCATAGGATCTCAAAGGTATAGTAATAACTGGTGCCCATTTATTTTTAACATACCTGAGGTTTGTAGAAGTAAAAGTACCTGCACTTTTACCCTATTTTTTTTTCTTGCTTGACAAAGATCAAATGTAATATGTGTCATAAAATCAGTCCTTATTTTTATTTACTAAGCTTTCTGCTATTCAATAAGTATACTGTTAGAACAACACTACATTGAAAGCCAGAAGACCTGGATGCTAATCTGCTCTCTTATACTTACTAGCAGTGAAACTTGAAGCAAGTAACATAAACTCTGATTCTCAGCTTCCTCACTTGTAGAGGGGGAATATAATACTTGTCCTGCCTTTCTTACAAGGCACATTTGAAACTCAAATGTAATCATAGTATACATACATATTTTAACACACATATGTTAAAATTTTACCTTAAAACATACAGTGTGGTGCAATTTATCACACTAAATATAAAGTATTTAGAGATAGTTTTGTTACTTAAACATACTGAATCATATTTACTATTGGGTTGGCCAAAAAGTTCATTCAGGTTTCCTGCAACCGTGTATGCAGAATCCGAATGAACTTTTTGGCCAACCCAATACAGAGATTCTCAATTCCGAAAGAATTAGAACAAAATATGGCCATAGTTAAAATGTATTTCACATAAAATAATCTTGTTTATTTTTTCCTACCTCCAGGTTTTTGCCTGTGTTCTCATTTCCAACCACAATCCAACTTCCTCCCACTCAGAAACATACCATGCTTCAATCACCTACAAGCTCACCATAAATTTATTCTTCTCTAATGCTGTATGTATTATAACCTGTACCACACTGCTTTGCACTCATTTTTTTTTTTTTGCTAATTTTTCCAAATATATTAGTATTTTCTCCCAAAGTGAAATAATTGCTTGGTGTAATTATCGGTTCCTTGAAAATTATGCCTTCAAATCATGGTGCCTAACATTTAATGAGCATTTGCTCTGTTTTATCTGTATCAGTTAATTTAATGCTTACAACTGACCTGTGAGATGGGTACCATTATTATCCTTGTTTTACTGATTTAAAAACAGAGGCACAAAGAGGTTAAGTAATTTATCTATGTAAGATAGCTGGTAAGCATCAGCATCAGAGTTCAAATCTAGCCTGGTGCCCTGTGATGACCTATAGGGGTGGAATGGGAGGATGGGAGGAAGGCTCAAGAGGGAAGGTATGTATATATATGGCTGATTCATGTATAGCAGAAACCAACACAACATTGTAAAGTAATTATCCTTCAATTTAAAAAATTAATTCCTGACTCACAAAATAATTAAATAAATAAAGACCTGAGATAATTAAATATATCTCTCAATAGCTACCTCATATTAACACTTTAGTGTTTCCAACCATGGAAAATTCAGAAGCTTCAAAGGTGAGACTAGATCTCAGAGCAATGTAAATTTGTAGACCCTTTCCAGGAGCAACATTACACTGGAGGTGAAAAAAAAAACACTCATTTTTTTCTATTCTACTTTATGTGCACAAGCTAGGTTAGATTGTATTTCCTTAACTCTAAAATAGCACAATATTTCTGAGAGGCCAAATCCAGAACATTTTCTTTGATCCATCCTAGATCTCTGTTATCCTAGATAAAACACAAGACAAATTCTAACTCCTCATTCATTTGTTCATTGCTTCATTTTTCTCTGACTATATAGAATCCCTTTATATAATTCCCTCTGTAATAATTCTACAAAAATCACAAGAATATATTTCTATTCTAAATTACAAAAACATAACTTAAATTTTATCAAACAGTTTTTTATAGAACACCTGCTCAATTGACATTTAAATTTGTATCCTCAAGCACATGACCTTTACAGTTTCTCTTGATAGCTAGTTATTTGATTTCACAAACATTTTATTTGTCACAAGAACTGCCTTCGAAATTAAGCACAACTAAATAGGCCTTATAGGAAACGACCTTTTTGGCAAAGAAAGTTATATTATTCAAAGGGAAAAATAAAAGTTTCTATGACCAAAAATAAGTTTTCACTGAAGTCTAAGTAGACAAAAAAAATGACCATTTCCATTCTTCCTAAACACCCATAACTACTTTTGTTTTGGTGTGGTGGTTTTCTATGACCTTGCTAACTTAAAAGATTAATGGTCACTTGAAGACATAGAGACACATGAAAATTACAATTTTAAAAATAATGTCTACCTGCTCATAAAAAAACAGGTTCTTCTTTCCATACCTTTAGCAAAGAGTAGTTCAAATTACTGCCTATTATTAGTCTCCTTTAAAAAAAATCAAACAGCTGACAAAGAAAACCAAGAAAGTTTATCCCCTTTCACTCTTCCACATGGTTTTCATTTTTACTAGATAATGGATACAGTTCTTCACCATTATATTTGGTTCTTTTATCTATCCATAAGAAAAAATTAATTACTTAAAATAACACCATAACAACTTTTCATGTATACCATTTTTATTTAAATACAATTATTAAAAATAATATATTTAAATCTAATTATAAGAGCATTCCAAAGCAGATACTATAGCTCTGTGGGACTTAATTTCTGCCTCTATTCCCACCATGCTACAATAAGTGCTCACATAACTAAGATCTTGACAATCTAAGCTTTCTTCCTCTGGCTTAGAAATATCCTATCAACAATATATATTCAAATTTTGTCAGAATATTGGAAGAAGCCTGAAACTCCTTGATTCAACAGAATTAGAAACTAGTTTATCAACAGAAAAAACTGGGCTTTCCTCAGGGGTGAAATAATTTGGGACATTTAAAGTGGGTATTCATATCATTAGAAAACCTCAAGAAGCAAGTTAGAATGTTTGAGAAAAGCAACTGGAAGTGATACTGGGACAGCATGTAGCCAGGAACACTAAAGGGAGAATTCAAATGTATGACAGGAGATTCTGGATAGCTTGTGCAGTCTCCTCCTTAGTCAACTGTATTCTTCATCAATCCACCTTAAGATATCCATATAGTTTCCTAGCTTACTCATCAAATAAAAAGGTATTGACTGGCCAATAAGAATATCCACCTGTTTGGCTATTCTAGTTTGACTGTAAAGTATTCAATTGACTTTCTAGCAAAAATTCTTTTCTGGTGAGTTTGGGCGATATGAGCCAGCTTTCCTGGGGTCTTATCTCCATACCCTCTCCTCTCAGCCCCAACTCAGCTCTGAACAAAATAAGTTGAACAATGATGGAGTTTTCTAGATCTAAAGTTTTGGAAGTCCCAACTCTGGAAAAGAGAAAAACTATAACCACAAAGTCTTGCTTATCAAGCTATTCCTCAATACTACAAGTGGCACTTTGGAAGCAGAAACCTATTATAATCACCTTGACTGTGTCTACAAATAATTTTTGTCAATATTTGAACTAACAGTCTTAAAATCTGTGGTTTTCTGTGTTCACTTGTCTCTCAAATTTGGGGCATAGCAGCTTGCCCTGTGACCTCTATTCTCTGAGGGACCTAAGAAGAATTGTTGACTTTCAATTTGTTCAGTTTTTTTTTCAATTGTGGTGATGGGCTTGTCAACTTTCAAATTCTTTACACCAGAAGAGCAAATTCTCAGTCAGTGAAGTACATGGAAGCCTGGCATGCTGCAGTAGTGGCTGAACAACAAGAGACTTCAGGGACAATGTCAAATGCAGCAACATCCTAGGAGTCTGAGAAGGAGAAGAGAGAGATAAAGTACCTGAGAAAATGTTGGAATAGATAATTAGTTGAAGACTTCCTTAACATAGGAAAGTAGACAGTCACCCAAGTGCAGAAAGTGCAGAGTCCCAGGCAGGATAAACCCAAGGAGGAACATGCCAAGACACATAGTAATCAAAATGACATAAGTTAAAGACAAGGAAACAGTATGTGTAACAGCAAAGGAAAAGAGACAGAAAACCAAACAAACAAAAGCCCATAAGTTTATCAGATCTCTTAGCAGAAACTCTGCAGATCAGAAGAGAGTGGCATGACATATTTAGGGCAATGAAAGAGAAGAACCTAAAACCAAGAATATTCTACCCAGCAAGACTCTCTTTCAGATTCAACGGAGAAATCAAAAGTTTTACAGAAAAAAAAAAAAAAAGTTGAGAGAATTACCACCAATAGACTAGCTTTGCAACAAATGCTAAAGGAAATTTTCTAGACAGGAAAGAAAAGACCAAAACTAGAAACAAGAAAATTTCTACTGGAAAAGCTCACCAGTAAAGACAAACACACAGTAAAGGTAGAAAATCATCTGCACACATTTATAATATCAAAAACAGCAATTATGAGGAGAGTATAATTGCAGGATATTGGAAATGCATTTTAAAATGAAAAACCAGCAACTTGAAATGCTCTTGTTTATATATAGACCGTTATATTAAATCTTCATGGCAACTGCAATCCAAAAATCTGCAATAAATACAGGCACCAAAAAAGGAAACCAAACACAATATTCGTCATGGTCTTTGTAGACCGGGACCTGGGGACTGAAGTCAACGAGAAGAGGGATGCAGGGGACCCAAGTTTCGAGTGAAACAAAGGTGCTTTATTTGTAGAAATGCATGTTTATATATTTCATACAAGGCAGCTTTAGGGAGTAAAAA